CTTTGTTTAATAATTTTCCAGTCTAGCTGCTCTTCGTGTCACTTTATGAGTTTTTGAAGTTCAGAGCATTGGTGAGACAAAGACAGTTGAACATCAGTCATTTAAGTAAAAAAAAATAAAAAATAGCGCAACCAACTGAAGTTGGCTTAGGATCTTCGTAAATTTTTTTTCTGAATTTATCATACCATCTATCCCTTAGTCATTTGGTCCTGAGTAAGATTGAAAAATGATATATGCAGCTTGCTGCCCAGTGTCAGCACTGACAAGCTTGTGTGACTGCATTTGAGCTGAATATTTCAGCAAATAGCATAGCCCAGCAGCAATTGCTAAGCCCTGTCTATATCCTCTCCTTGCAGTGAGCAGCGATTTTTCATTTCATACATCATTTACAGCTTGCCACAGTGATTCCAGTTAGCCAGGATATATTTCCAACACAAAGAGAAGAAAGAGAAATATGTATCATTTGTTGCAGAAGTTGGCTGTATTGGGTTCAAATGTAATTACACTACAACATCAAAAGCTACACTAATGGACAAAGAGTCAACTATGCTTAACTCAGAGTTAAATAAGATCTGTTTTCTTCTTGCTCAAGAATTCTGCCAAGTAATTTTGCTGCTTTGATGCATTGCATCCATAATAGTCAGTGCACATACTTAAACAGGTACAGTGCATATATCATCCATCAAAGTATTTTACAAAATAACAGATGCCTTCAACCCTCTTGGTAGAATTGCCTTGTTAATGGCACTTATTCCTGCTGGAAAGTGCAGTTCCCATTTCTTTAGCTCCTGGAGAGTCTTTAGCTTCCTCCTGGGCAAGACAATCAATTAGGAAGGGGGGGTCTCAGCAGGGATCTACTGACGGCAGGGTCTGTGTGACCTTAAAGGGAAGGCTCACTTCCATTTTTCTCGGTTTTTCCTCCCAGAGCCCTATCAACATGTCTGTATTCTGATCTGTAGTAAATAGGATAGGTTTTGTTAGTCATCCGAGCTGATTTAAAAATAAATAGAGGAACAGTGAGTCCTTTTCTTCAAAATGCTGGAAAACTTCACAGTTTGTGTGAAACTCTGGTAATCCTGAGCATTTTCCTTTGAGATCAGGCCCACAGATAATGCATCTGTAGAAACACATGTAAGGAACACACACCATAGACCTCGATACCTTCTTTCTTTCCTCATTAGGGTTTCATAATAATTTCTCATAAGAAACTAGAATGATTCTTTCTATTTTTAAGGGCTCAGAATCACAGAAAAGGCTCAGCAAGATCTCTTGATTTTTGAGACATTTGCAAAAGCTTCATTTGTTGAACTGCCATGACTGCTGAAGCCTTAATAATGAATAGGAACTTGTCATCAGTTGAAATGCAATAAAGGCTGAATTTGTGAAAAGTAGAATATTTGAAAGATAAAAAAATCTAGAAAAACATTGGTATTAAATTAGATTGTGAATCAGGATGAAAGATAGTAATTAGCAGTGTTTGAGGTAGTAAACAGAGTGCTATTGCATCAGAATTTTCAGGGTTTGGGTGTGCTGGGGTGCCCACTAGCAATTTCGGGATTGAGGAATTTACTTCAAATGGAAGAAGACTTTGAAATTTTCTCCTCCCCGTATTTCCTGTGCTTTCCCTCTTAATGTGCTCCTTAGCTTTGCAGGGATAGATCAATTTGCCATTATGTCCTCATCACTACTGAAATTTTGAAGTACCTACTGTGTACAGGGGTAGGAGAGTGACAGCAGTAGGAGCTTACCTCAAATAAGGCTCATTATTTAAGGAAAAATTCCTGTGTAAAAAGATGGTGGTATTAGAGTATGGAAGTATTTCACCTGTTTCCAAGGCACTGCAGAAGGAGAGCTCGGGGCAGCTGTGCAGGGAGCAATGCACTTTCCATTAGCAAATAGTCAATGGAGTCCTGATGGGACAATCCACGGCATAACAGAATTTTATTTCAATTCTTCAAATGACAGTAAGAAGAAAAAAAACCTGGCAAAGTCTTTCCTGGAATTATCTGTGGTTGTCAGACTTTGTCAATGTGCTTTTGACACTTTCTTTAAAGTTGGAAAAGCAGGGAAAGCTAAATGCCTGCAGCCTTGTTGACACTGTTTCCTTGTAGGGGAAACTGAACTGATGAGCTGTGTTTGTTCTTTCAATTTTCATTTGTCAAAATATATAAGGTCATCACAGTTGTATTTATTTCACTTGAGGAGATGAACTGCTATAATTAGTAACAATACACTTATTTTATTACTTGCTTTGATAGAAGCTGGGAGTGTAAGTAAAAAATCTTAATTTCAGAGTGAATTATATTAGCTTTTTGTTGTTGCCTGTTTGTGTTAAACTATTTTTTTGGTGTAATTAGCACTCAGTAAATTACTTTATTTTTGTTTTGTTTAATTGAGGTAATGATGTCTGCAGAGGAACACAATACCAAGGGGTTGGGTTTTTTTTTCTACTCTCAAGGGCCTCTCAGGAGTTTGAAACTTGAGACTCAAAACTATAAGGAGTGCATCAAGAGCTGTCCCAACCTCTTTTAAAGAGCCTTTCCCTTCATTGCTGCATAAAGGTGAACCTAACTAGTACAGAAGACAGCTTGAACAGAGGCAGACAGAGCTGAGCTGCCAGAGGGAGCATGGCTCACAGGCTGACCCCTCTGTGTAAGTGAGTGTGTGTTTTTTCCTTGCTGAGAGGGCAAGACTGGTACATTAATGAGCCATCTGCCTTGCTGGGACACAGTTTTGAGAACAACATGCCTTCCTGTTCTTTTCATGCTCTGCCCTCTAGAAAACGTAGCTCTACCTTTCCTTATGACACGGCACTCCGTCATATCAAAGGATAAAGAAATCAGTGATGAAGAGAGAATTAGGGAAATGAGGGGAGTTACAGGACAGAGAGCTTAATTAGAGGGATAAAAAAAATCAGGGAAGAAGAAGATTTAATGAGGCTCCTGTTTATTACTTCTGCTAATTTAGGAAGTCTTGCTGCTGGCTGTGGCACTGGAAGGTTAAATTGTACAGATACTTTCAAAATTAATATTGCAGTGAGTTAGAATACAGGACTTTAGCATTCACTTTCATTTAATGGCTATATCTCAGCCTCAGACTGTGGTCATGTTAAGTTTTAATTTTCAAAGGCCACGGCTCTTTCAGGGGTAAACTGCTTGTTCCTTTCTACCACAGATTGGTGTAGATTAAGGCTGCTCTGCTCTGAGTAGCCTCATTTACATGTTGTTACAGACTTTTGTCCTTTCCCCTCCCTCCAGTTTCCCATGAGTCCTGTTTCTGCTTGGACACTCTCTAGTTCTGAGCTTCACAACTGTTTGTGGGGTAGAAATGGCCCACCCAGTCACTTTCTAGAAGAACTACCTTGACTACACTTACTGGATCCTTTGGAATTCTTGCTAGCAGCCCTGCAGTATTGTCTGTACCTGGTCTGAAGACAGACTGGACATGGGTGTCCCATGCTGGCCAGTCAGAGTCAGCAGAGAGCATCATGGGCTGTAGGTGCAGAGTGGATGCACTATCTGGTGACTGATGTCTGAGGTGCTGTGGGAGAGGTTCTGTCTTGGCATGACAGAAATTGTACTGAGCTTCTTTCTTCACCTCATGGAGCTTTATTTCTCCCCCCTGACTTTTCATTTATGAATTGGTCTATCCACAAACTAACATTTTTAATGCCATGCTTCCCAGCTAAGATTATAATGTTTCATTTTTACCATGTGGTGTTTCCTTTTATTGTCCCAGACACTTTTATGAATAGCATTCCATGGCTACACTAGTGGTTGGTGCATTTTCCTTCATTATTGTCTTATTTTTAACATCACCATTTTTAGAGCTGGAAAATGGCAGTTACATAACTTTCCCTCGATGTGACATATAAAGATCATCAAGTTAATATTTATCAAAACTTTGAGGATAGAAGGGATTATGCATGCATTGCACATTCAGGAGCCAGGATTAGATACATGTTTTTTGACAGATGTGGATTTTTCTGTAGTTCTTTAAGTTCCTTGTGAGTACCCCCATGGATTCTAGGAATTATTAGCAGTGATCTTTATTTCTGGGATTTAACTTCTAGGGTAAGCCAAGATTTAGGCCTTAAGGCTGTCCAATGTTTATAGTTACTATACTCATGTTTCTGTTTTTCAGATGATTTTTGTGGCACTACCTCTAATGTAGATGCTGCTTGACTGTCTTTAATAACCAAATATATGGAATTTTTATGATTTTCTATAATAAATTTATGGCAATGACACCAGACCAGGCAAATCCTGTTCACTGTGTCTTAGATACTCTGTGGCCCAGGGCCACAGTTGCCTTCTTGTGATCTCTTGATCAGTGCTGCATGCCAATTGGGATTTCAGGTTGGATGAGAGGCTGACCTGTTGTACAGCACCTGGCAAATGTCCTTCTCATCTGCAGCCCCTGGTGCCAAAGGGATCCTGCATTACTGTGGGACAGACTGCAGGCAAGCCTGTCCTGCCTGACATGGTCCAAGTGGAGTGGAGTCCTTTCCACACTGGCTGGCTCGTGGAAAGATGAAGGGTTGATAAAATGGAGATGAATGTGCTACACTGCCTGCATTGATAGAGTTCAAGTGAGACAATTTCAGCTGTTACACACTACCTGAAAGCCAAGGTTTTCTTTTTCAGTGCAGGTTGTCCTTGCTCCTGTTTGCTGTTATTGATACACTAGATAGTGTTTTGTGATAACAATATCATCAGGGAGAACCATGCCATGTCAAGAAAGATTTTTTAATACGATCTATCACAAGAGCAGTAAAAGAAGCACTAAAATATGGAAGCAGCTGTGTCATTTGAACGAAACTAACTTTTGCAGAGTTACAGGTCTAGCAATAAAGCTGCCCTTTGAAATTCTTATGTCCAATGAAAGCTCTTTCCTGGTATTTCCAGCCAAGTTGCTGGGAGTGTGACATCATGCTTCTCAGCAGATATTATTAACTCAATTAAGTTAAAGAGATATAAAGTAAATTACTGCTTCCTAATTATACAAAAAATGGATAAACAAGCAACAAAAAACAATTATATAATTCACTCTGAAATTAAGATGTTTGAACCACTAACAATTTAAATCAAAGAAACACTAATAAAATCAGTGTAATGTTACTAATTACATAATTTCATCTTCTGAAGTCAAATACATAAATTTTTGTTGACTTAGTGTATTTTGGCATTTCTAAGTGTAGAAAAGGAACAAGAATGGGTTTGTCTTACGCAGCAGTGCCGAGATCTGCAACATCTGCAGAGTGAGAAGCTGAGCTTGTAGTGATGGGGAAAATTAGGCTTGCAAGGAAGCTTCATGCAGGTTGGTAGGCTGTGTCCAGGAAGGAAACTGGCACTTGGCATCCTGCATTGTTCATACAATTGTATGAACATAACAATTATAATTCTTATGTACAATTTCTAATGTACTGATTATAATGTCTGTTCCTACATAAAAGTACTTCTATGTAGACCTTAGAAAGAAAGGTCTAAGAGTTAGAAGCTGAGCTTGCAGTCATGGGAGAAATGCAAGGGTGTGTAATAATCAGTGCCCACAATGACCCCAGGTTTTCTAACAAAATCAGCTGTCAAAAGATCTGACCCATCCAAATACAGGCTGTGGAAATGCACCCTTCTACACCATTGCCTCATACCAATCAATAGCAATTCAATCTTGGCAGAATTCAGGCAGCACCTATTATAAACCATCTGAAACTGAGTTGCTGTCAAAGAATTAGACATGAAGAAGATTGCTGAACTAGTACCTGATGGGAAAAAATACTGCCATAGTCTAGTACAGTGAGACAGTTTCAGATTGCTCAGTGACAGCTCCTTAAAAATACAGAATTATACTGGAAATATTATAAATATCTAAACATAAATTAAGGTTGACAGCCTCAGCTTTGATCCTAGAAGGAACTGAAGCAAAAATATGGTTGTACTTATCATTCCCATTGGTCAGAAATCTGCTTGACCCATGTCTTGATTCAAAATAAGATAGATTTCACTCCCAAGTATTTCATTTGTTTAAAGCTCCAGTTATTCCTGAATGAAAAAGAACTCCATTTTCTTTTTATGGGAACAGAGGAGGGAAAGGTATTGCAGCATCAGAGGAAATCAGAGGAATGCTTTTCCTTCTTTTTTCTTCTTATTTTTTCCATTGCAGAACTCAGAATGCCCTTACTCTTGGATGCCTATATTAAAATGCTTTCCACCAAATTGCTATTTCATCTTTTTGTTCTAATCTGAGGGCAAGCATAGTTTTGCCACTAATTGGGTATGTCCTGTGACATAATATGGAAGAGGAAATGTTCCCTTTCATAACAGTGTTATTCCAAGTAGACATTTCATTATTAGCTGTCTGCTAATGCAAAAAAAAAAAAAAAAGTGAAATAGTTCTTTTTCCTAAACAGTAAAGCAAAAACCACCTCATTTTATATACTGTACAAGAAGCACCCTAACAATAAGAGTAATCTTCTACTACTTAGAAATTTGGTTAGAGGGAGGTACCTGGAGAATGTTACTTCTGGAGCTTACCGATGCTTTTAGGACAGGGTTGGAAGGACGGTACAGATGGGCTCATTATTCAGTACCCCTGCTGCCTGGCTAAGTGCACTGTTACAGATTGCTGCCATGGATATGCTGTGAAGCAGCTCTCACTACCCAGGGAGATGAAACGGGGCCCATTAGGGAAACAAGAAAATGTGAGGTAATGACTGGTTAATACCCTTGGGCGTGAGGGTAGAAGGTATGTGCTCTTGAACCATGCCTGTCAGTAAGTGAAGAGGTAATTTCCATGTTCTCTTGGACTGGTGTCCAAGGAAACCATCTTGGATTGATAGGGGTAATCAAATGTTACTTTAATTTGTGGGCTGCGTGCACATTTGTAAGTCATCGGCCATTTTACCCCCGTGGTGTTTCTCCCAGGGCACTCCTGTCCACAGAGTGTCTCACCAGTTTCTCCTCCTGCCTGCATTTTTCTTTACCTCCCGCGGCTGACATCTTTCCTGCCAGCTGTGTCTTTTCCGCAAGGTAATTCTCTTCACTGCTGACTGTGGTCCTGGGGGATTCCAGGGCTGTCAGCCACACTTCTACCTTCTGCACTTCTGTCTTTTTTCCTTGCATGTTTTCCTTCCTTTGCTTCTCTCTTGCCACCACTGCCTTCTGTTTCTTTCCTAATCAGGACATCACTGCACCCTGTAAGAAAGGGAAAGGCTCAGCCCCAGTTAAGAATCATGGAAAGGGACTGTAACAGTTAAAAATCACTCTGTGAAGAATATCTTCTGAACAAGAAAGCAAGAGATTAAGGTTTTAACTACTCAAAGAGGACAAAATTGCATTTGTGCTTATAAATAGACTTCAAAAGGAAATACAATTTTCTTTTTTTTTTTTTTGATGGAGAATAAAATACTTGGCTCCGTATGTGACACTGAAAATCTATGTATTTCTTGGTTCTTGAGCTTGCAACTTTTGCTTATTGGTGACAGTATCTAGCAGTCGACAGCTGCCTTTGACAGAGTGTAGTATGAACTAGTATTCACGCCATATGTTTTCTCTGGTGAACATATAGAAAAATCACAAAAAATATCAAAAATGGTCAGAAAGAGGTACAGACTTACTGAGACATAATATATTCTTCTGTACTGTCAGTTCTCTTCTGTTGAAAGTCCCTTCTTGCGGTTACCTTGGCATATAACTCAGGTACATCTCATGACTGCATCCCCACTTATTGTAGCTTTTCATAAGATAAAACCTATGAAAAAATATATTTAAGCATCCCATTAAGAACAAGTGAATGCTGTGTTTACATTGTTACCAAGAGTACAGTAAATTAAGAAACTTTTTAGCATTTCTTTGATTACATCAATGCAGTTTGTAAATATCACTTCAGGAGCATGAGGCAGTCCCCTGAAGATCACAAGCAGCTGTGCCATGTGTGGTGGTGGTTCACTGTGCGCTGCTGCAATCAGCGCATCAAACGGCTCCATGCCAAACACATCGGGTATGTCACGGATGCAGCGTGCCTCTTACAGTTTGCTTTTAATTTACCCTTTTACTAACTGTATTATCTTCCCAGTAGAGCTATTTATCAGGGTGGCGATTAAGTAGCGTCTACTTTACATTATGTCTTTTGAAAAATATCTAAATTAGGATGATCTAAAACTCCAACAAATTATGGGTACTTCAGTTGCTTCTGTTTGTGCTCCATGGGCAGCAATTTACCCAGTGTTTTTCCAATTCAGCTAAATGGGAGACAGCTGGGGGTTAGCAAGACTCATCTTACCAAATCATAGATATTTTAAACAGCTGGCAATAAACTATAATTTATATCTATAATTTAAAGTATTTATCCAGAAGAAGTACCTTTAGAATATACTTGAAAGCTGCATCTGAGCTGACATGAAGGAGAGCTTTGTATCTTATTGCCATGGGCTAGGGCTTCAATTTATAATTAATTTATATGCTGTTCCTCTGAAATGCTGTAACTTTTATTATTAATCAATTTAAATTGAAAAAAGTAGTAGTTCTAAGAATTAAAACCAGACTTCCTTCAGTAATTGAATTCATCAGACTAGTTTCATAAGCAGTAAATGTGACTGAACTCTGCGATGAGAACATCAGTGAATCTAAATTCATGTACAATAGGAGCTTCACAAAGTCTGTATTTCACTCACAGTCTTCCAAACTGTTATCAGTGATGCTCTGAAGAAGCTGAACAAATGAGTTTTCCACTGCCCTGACAGTTATGATGGTTCTCAAAAATCTTAACTTCACTTTTCCCCCTTTCTGAATCTTGAAGGCTTTAAATGCACTTCCTTTAGAAATCTCCTTCCACTCTCCAAAACCTGGAGATGCTCTTACAAAACAGAGGCACTGTTACAAGACTCGAAAATCACTCTGTTTCTGCTCTTTTCTAATTATTGCAACATGTTGTTACATCTTCATTGAACTTAGTGGGGCAACAGAGTTTTATCCCCTAATTTGATGATTTTGTGGTGGGATCCATGACATATACATAATGCAAGCTGTCTTAAGTGATCAGAACATCTGAGGGACCACTTTTACTTTGTGGCATTGAATAAAATCAAGATGATTTTGGTTCTTTTTGTAATAAAGTCAGTGCATGTAAGGAGATGAAGGGGTGCACTGAAAAGCTGGAACATTTGAGCTGCCTGGAGGTAAAAAGAGATGAACATGTAGGAACTCAGAGTAACCCAAAGCAGCAATTTTAGTCTCAAGAAGTAATATCATTATTTATCTTCACACATGTAGGTAAAAGCATATTTTTTTAATGTTCCAAGTATTGTTATAGCTAACTTTTAAATATTGCAATGTTTATTCTGATGTGATAATATTTTTTCAGGTGGGATGAAATACTGTTGATGGAGTTTGCCACTCCATGTAAAGCCTGAAGAAAAAAGGAATAGAAGCAGACTTTCAGTGGAATTTGCATTCTTTCTTTCTTTTCTCTCAGAGGGGAAGGTTAGTAACTGCTATTTTCTGTTAATCTCAAACACTTGCTTGGTAAAGTTTAGCTGCACTATTGGTGTGCTACTCACCAAGGAGCTGAGCCTCAGTGGTAGGTGAATGCACGTGGCAGTCGGTTCTAAAGTCTCATCTGCCTGTGACTCCATCGAGGATGACTGAATATCTGCACTATGGCAGTACTGTGGCAGAGGCTAGAATTAGTAAATAAATGCATTTGGTGTTTTGTTTGGGGTACTTGGCATTCAGTCTACTGTTCTGGAGCTCTAATGCAGTCTTAGCCATCTGCTAAGCAATAGTAAGACACTACTGAAGAGTAGTGCTTTTTGAGCTAGCCCAGTCCTCAAATTAGCTGGATTGCTCTTTTTTGCTTTGGACTTACTTTAAATAATGATTTTGCCCTCTGACATTTTTCTCTACTAAATTTTGCTTAAAATTTTATTTTTCCCTTTTGTTCAGTAATTTCTGCTGTAAATTTAGAATATGGTGTTATGTGGTAAAAGATGCACATATGCTGCTTAAGCTGAATTTTAAGGTCTTATGACCAGCATTTTTATTCTTAATGCCTTAATAACTTTCTGATATATTGAAATATTTTTCTTAATGACACAAAAAGGCATTTTTGTTTTTGCTATTAATTATTATTTTATTGATCAAAACCATGCCTTATAATTTTAGCATACCCTTGTTTATCTGAATTTTCCACTGGGAGATTTTCTATGGTCCATAAATAACAAAAATAAAACAGCAGTATAGGGATTAGCTACATAATTGGATCCTGTTAAACATTGAGTGACCCAACTTAATAAGATATTTGGCTGTCTTCTGTTATCTTTTTCTGCCTCTGGTTTCTGATTCTTGTGGTTGTTTTGCTTCCTCCCAAACGTTACAAATTATTTTGATTGTTTGTTTGTTTTTGTTTAGGTTTGTGGTTTTATTTGTTTGTTTCTTTTGTTTTACCAAAAGTAAAAGAAGCAATAGGAGTAATAGAAGTAGAGATTGTGGGGTTTGGCAAGCTCTAGTTGTATTAAGTCTTCCTGGCACTTACTTGACTATGAAGTCTAGAAACACTTCATTGAAACTGTGTAAATTCTACAGTGTGTGGCACTAAGGGAGAAACAAAGATGTGGTAACCCAAATACTTGTTTTCTTAGGAAGTGATACATGACTCAGTGATTTTTGGAGCTTCTGTATTCATCTGTGCTGTGCATTAGCTAAAGCATCATTACATTCTGTTGGTTATTTTGCTTCACCCCAAAGCCCCTCTCCTGCTTTTCAAGCCCTAGTCAACATTGCTTAGTCTTGTGGTTCCTTTCTCAATTCTTCATATATTCTTTAGCATCTCTATCTAGAAAAGGGCACATTGAGAGCATAAAATAAAATTTAGTCCTGTCAGTTCTGACTGAAAATTATATTACAGTGAAGCTCTTTTCTGTGAAGGGACTATGATGGTTTTAGCACTGCAACAGCAATGACAGCTGTAGTCCCAGTTTTATTAATGTGATTTCTTTGTAAATATATTTATTAATCTGGTTTATTTGCAAAATGCTCTTCCTTTAGGTGAAAATACATATGTAAATATATAATCCTCTTTTCTCCATACATTCCCATTTTGGAAATGAAGGCAAGCTGGAGACAACAGGTGAACATCCAAATGGATTAATCTGTAAATGTTGTACAGTAAAATTCTTACAAAACTGTACATTCCCAGTGCATTCTAGTGCCTGCATGCCTGCCACCATGATAGAACGTAATCTCTTTGTTTAAAACTCACTCTGATACTTTGAGATTTTTTGTTTTATTCTATGCATACCAAACTAAAATGTAATATGCCTTGTAATCAATACTGGAGTTGAATTTAGGACTCTGATACTATAAAATATTTACTTGAAGAAGGAGAGATGCATCAGCTTTTTCCCAGGAAGCTATGAATAAGCTAATGAAAGAAGGGAGTACACTGTAGCCACAATTTATGTGGTAACAACTGCAGACTTGAAAAGCAAATGCTAATAGCATCTTCTGCATTAGTTATGCAACAAAACAGTACTTTAAAATGCACATAAAATTTAATTTACTAATATGCTAAATTTTGCAAGTTTCTAATCTTTGTTTTATTTATAAATCTCAAAAAAATCAACAACCATGGCATTGTGAATTCTAGATAATGAAGAAAAGGTTAAATGTGGTAAAATAAATTAATGTCCATACTAGAGGCACATAAAAGTAAAGCTATGCAAAACGTCCCCCCCCAAGCTATTTCTGCTTCCCGTGGGTGGCTTCTGTAAACACAGAATTTTGTATTTATCTTAAGTTTTCTGTTGTTGAATCACTTGCACATTTTCCTTTGCACTTCTATCCTTAACTGTTGATGCTTCTTTGAGTTGATTTAAGCCCATGAAAAGATGGAGTTGAAAGACTCCATCTACATCATAATGCCAAGAAAAAAGGGAAAAGTGGATAAAATCTTCAAATAACAAACAAGAAAGAGAAATCATGTCTCAAAATTCCCTAAATGGACTTTCTATGCCAAAGTAGGCTAACATTTAGGCATGCTGTCCCATCAGCCAGGAAGGTAATTGGAGTTTATTCAGTATTTTTTCATTTTTCTTGGATTGGCAATTTTACAATTTCAGTATACAGGGTCTCCACTAGACATGGTTAAAAATCTAGTCAAAAGCTCCTGCCACAAGAAATTTAGGAGTGAATTAATTTCATACTGCAATGCCATCACAGAAACTGCAATCTGTCAACTGCCTCTCAGCTATTTGTTTTGTCTCCACATTGCAACATTTCAGTATGTTCTAATTTGTTCCAGAAAAAGAGAAATGAAATATTTCTTTTCCTATTTTTTTTGATTTTAGGTATAACTTTTTTCTCATTTCACAATCTGTAAATGCTATTCCCGAAGCATACCCAAAAGGCAATATTTCTAGAACTATAGATTTAATCCAACTACTGGAATATCTGGTACAAAGTGCTGCTGATCCAGATATGAAGTGCTAGGTTATGGAGGGCTGCTCACTTCTCCTGCTTCTGATTACTGGGTCTGATCATTGGGAATACTGTACTCTACCCCTGGAGGCTGAGAACAGAGGTTTTATTTTTACCAAAAAACTACACTTTTCTCATTCCTTTTGAGGGATTTCTTCCATTCCTTTGATTTTCTAAATAATAATTAAAGCCCCTGACAGGTCAAAGGATCTTGTAAAGTTTTTCCAAAATAAAGTACTTTGGTTTTGATTATATTTTCCTATTTTAACAACATGT